ACATTAAGATCAAGAGCCGATTCAATTCCTTACCTTAATTAACTAAGAGTACCCACCGTAACATACATCTAAGAGTATTCGCCATCATCTAAATCGTAAAAAATTATTGACCATTAATGAGGACATGTTCATCTTTAAACTATTTCTCCTCTCTAATATTTGTTTTCTGTTCAAATCCCCTCTTTTGCTTCAGTTTCTTTAGTTTATTATAAATTATTGGGTAATACAGAACCACCTCAACTATTAGGTCATTAACAATTTTATAACTCATTTTTAAAAAATTTTAATGTCATATCTTATCTATGAATTTGTTACAATTTCATACATTCCGTCAGTTGTCTATCAATTTCTCTATTAAAGTACTGACGTGACATAAGACGAAATCCACTTTATATTAAAAAAATTAATTAAAAAAAAAAAAAAACGAAACTCAAATCTCATCACCCCCACCCCCAAAACCCCATCATCTTCATCTTCTCGTCCACCCTCCCCTCCCCCGTCCCCCGTCCCCCTTAAAAACCTTCCTTCCAAATCTAGAACCCCACCCCCACCTCCCCCACAATCCCTCCTTTCTCTCTTCCGAGCCTCCCACCCACCTCCCTCTCCTCCACTCTCTTCACCTTCCCTCCCATTCAAAAGCTAACAAAAAAAAAAACGAGTTGAGGTGGTGTGGGGAAGGAAGGGTTGGTTGGGGTGTGACGATCTGGACAATCTGGATTCAAATTTGTTTCTGATTTTTTTTATTTTTGGTTAGATTTTGAATGGGAGGGAAGATGAAGAGAGTGGAGGAAAGGGAGGCGGGTGGACGCTCGGGAGGGAGAAAGGGGTGTGGGGGTGCGGTTCTAGGTTTGGAGGGAAGGTTTTTTTTTTTTTTGGGGGGGGGGAGGTGTTGATGGAGGGGGTGATGGGATTTGGGTTTTTTTGTTTTTTTTGTAATAATTAATATATAAAATGGGTCCGTCTCATGTTCGTATTTAACAGAATAATTGACAACTAACTGATAGAAAGTGTAACATTGCAACAAATTCGAAGATAAGGTATGACATTGAAACTTTTTAAAAATGAGGTATGAAACTATTAATGATCAATAGTGAAAGTGGTTATGTGTAATTTACCTTAAATTATTCTAATCACATAGTATTAAAGATCTAATAGTATTCTTTTTTACTTATTGTAAGTAAGAGATTTAAGTTCGATACTCTTCAAAACTAAACTTAAATTACATTATTACTAGTTAATCATAAAACTTAACTTACTATCTACTTAATTAATGTATATAATATCATTTTGTTAAAATCAAAAAATATAATTATCCTATTAGTTGTGTAAAAAATACAAAAGAGAAATTGATACTTTCCGGGAGGAAAATCTGGGGGCTGGTCCAGTTCCAACCGGAAAAAAGTCTTTTAATTTATTTGATCTTCAAGCAAAACGGTCTTTGCTTCTTGCTGTATCTGCACTAGACGGACTTACTAATTAATTACTCTAACTGGAAATAAATTATATAACAAAAGAGTTCAAACAACTCCTCGTATTGCCAATTGAATTCTATAACAGAACCTCAATTTTATTCATGGTATCAGATTGATCAGGAAGCTGCAAACGTCTTGTAGATTTCTTGAAAAGAGATTCAACACAAATTTTTTAGCATAAGATAATTGGAGAACGTAACACAGAAATATAATTAAGAAGCTGCAAAGAGACTAAATTCTCACTGATAAAGTTACCATACCTTCCAGCTTTTAAATTAATAGATAAATTAGAAAATTGTAAACAAGGCATAAGATCAGAAAATGGGCAAATTAAAGTAACAATTAACCAAAAACAGAACAAGCAAAAATAGCTTTCTACCAAAAAACACAGATTAAAATTATTCCGATAAAATTATTATACATTTTATGAAACTCATCTCTTTCGCCTTACTCCGTAAATTATCTCTTTTCGCTCCCGCTTCCTCTCTCAACTTAAAAAAACAAAGAAACGATTTGCTAGTATGTAAGTTAAAATACGCAAGAGGGGAAAGGGAAAGGGAGAAACTTTAGCAAATTGAAGGAATGGGAGGGATAGGAAAGAAATTCTCTCTTGAATTTGGAAAATAGAAGAGAAGTTTCTTCTTTCCTACCCTTCCATTCCAACAACTTCCTTAAAGCCTTCCTATCCCACCCGTCTTTCTCACTGGAATTATGTGGATTTTGTTCACCTCCTTCTGTTTATATACGCAGGGAATGGTTGTGAGGAAGAAACGCGAAGCTTCCTTTTTTTACCCTTTACCATGCTGCTACCCACCAAACCCTAATCTTTTTAAAATTTTATTTTTGAGAGATTATATTCCCATTTCCCACACCTTTTTATTTTTTAATACTCTACACGTCGTTAACACTTATTAAAAAATATTAAAATTTCAAAAGACGTAGAAAAAGTAATTTAAAATGTGAATATAATCTCTTTTATTTTTTTAATGTGAAAATTAACCTTTTCAAATTTCAAGTTCATCTTTTCCAACTTGACTAATAACAAATGTAGATGGCATCGCAATCCTGTTTGTACATTATGGTCTGGTTCGGTTTCCAACTTGATTAGTAACAAAGCGTCACATGGATTGTGAAATTTGAACGTCACGTTTAAAATTTGTTATCTGATTTAGAGATACTTTAACGTTATTATTTGATAAATGATGAGTTTCTCAATATATGTACTCATTCTTAAAGTCCTAGTATCATTTTGTTAACAACTAATATTATCTATATTAAGGGGTAGAGAAGTAAGTTAGGCTTTACAATAACCTTTTGAATTCACTTTTGGCAAGAATCGAACTTGTGACCTCTCATTTACCAGTGAAAGAAATATTACTAGACTGCAATACCAAGCGGCATCCACTAGTGCGTATATTATATGTATTATTTGCTTAAATCCTAAAGGTATCAAATGTATGCTCATTTTGATCTCTTGAATTTTGAAAATTGTCCAAATATAATCCAAACGGAAAAATTATGTACTTTTGACACTCAATAAGTGTTTAATATTTTAGATACTCATTAGTATGTTACTAGTAGCATATTATATATTTTCATTTGCTTAAGTTTTTAAAAGTGTCAAACGCAGGCGGTCATAAATGTAACAATTGGCTTGAAGCCAATAAAAGTTACACTTGTATGAATAAAGAAAATAAAACGAAAATTTGTTTAAAAATTAAAAAGTTAGGAAATAATAGGTTAGTCATATTATATATTTACTTACCATATAAGGATTTCCCCTTAGCTTCGGCAATTTTGCAGTGTTCTGAGTGTTGTGATCGGTGAGCCCGTGATTGCATGTCTTCAACGGACATTTCAGGTGCTACGTGGAGCCCCTGGATCTGTCGACGTGATTGGGATCATTAGTAAACCTTTGATTAACGTGATTTTTGATAGACTAAATTTTACAAACCAAGCACCAATAAATGCTTAAGAGACGGCACAGACACGGACACGGACATGGCACGCGTAGGTTATAAAAGGTCCCACGCGCAGAAGAATTTGGCTAAACATTTGTCTTGTAAATGTCAATGGACCACACGGACACGGCATGGGTTCACCTTTAAGATGATGGAGAGAAGGTGGTGGGACATAAAAAGTAGTGGTTAGTAATGAGCCACTTTTTGGTGCTTCTTGTCACAATATGGCCACACCGAAAAAGATTCCTTCAATTCAGAGTTTGAGCGTTACGAACAATAAATTTTCTTTCTCAAACAATTCATCTCTCACCAAGTATAAGAATTCGTCTGAATATGTATTTATAATTACTGAAAACATTTTTAGAAAAATTATTTTTGAATTTCAAAAGCATTTAAAGTGTTTTTACAAAAAACACTAGTTATGTGTTTCTTGCAGAAATATCAATTATGTGCTTTTTCTATGAATCACTTTAAATATTTTTCTAAAATTTACTTCCATCTCTAAAAATTAGTTCTAAAAATATTTTCACCAAAAACGATTTCAGTTATATTAAAAGTACATTCAAACGAGCTCTAAACGTTAAGAAGAATCTTAAAATGAAACTTTTGTTTAACTCTCCGTCATTTTATGTTTTTAACATAATTATAATGCTAATATTACAAAATAATGTACAAAAAAATATGAGATAGTAAATGATCCGTTGAGAGTTTTACTTTAAAATAGTCTATTTAGCATTTCCCATCAATTAATGGCATTTTCCGTCTAAATGTCAAACGGACCCCACGGCATGGAATAACTTTTAAGAAGATGGAGCGAAAGGTGGAGGTGGGGACACAAGAAATCCAGCGGCTAGCAATGGGAAAGGAATCATCTTCCTCATAATTCATCAAAATTATGGGATATATGCTATTGACGGCTACAAACAAAGACTCATTTTATAAGTTATAATAATTTCAACTGGTTGATAGATTTTTATCGGTACGAATCTCTTGATTTGATGGATTAAGAGGAAATGATCCGGAGAGTTCAAGCATTGCAGACAATAAATTGTCATTTGCTTATGGTACACCTAAACTCTATCTATTATTATAGAGCAAAAATTTTCATTGTGACCGAAACACGAATAATACATTACGTGTTTTTATATAAATAGTGAAAAATTTTGTTTTTCAAGTTATTAATTTTTTAACCCATATATTTTATTATTTGTATAACAATACGCAATGTACCATCTCGTGTTATAGTTAAATTGAAAAAATTTCTCCATTATAGAGAGAAAATAGTAAACTTTTTATTTAAGTCTTCAATTGCGTCTATAATTCAAACTATCCTTTCTCTTAATAGAAATTAAAAGAGAAATATCGTTTGTCATTTTGAAAAAAATAGTAATCATTTACTAACAAATAAATAGAAAAAAAAAAGAAAAAAAAGCTTCTCAAATGTTTAGTGGCATAGGAAAACTTTGCCTAAAGTTACTCTCTTTTGTTTTGCTTGTACTCGGAAAAATAGTTTTGGTTCACATTTTCGGCCAAGATAAAAAGAAGAAAAAAAAAAACTAATAAAAAGGATTTTAAATCTTTGCATTTTAATAAAAAACCATACACAAACTTTATTTAATAATAAGAACAAAAACATAAAAGAAAGGAAAAAAAAAAAAAAATTCTCTGTGCGCGCGTCCAAAAACTCCATCAAACAACTTCGCTTCTAACCAACTACTACCCCCCAGCTTAGACAGTTCTGTCTTCTGGATCATTCTATTCACAACCGCATCAGCTCTCCCACCTTGTAAGTTTCCTTCATGTCCCGTTCCCTTCACAGACCACGAAATACAAAGCTTGGCGGGAAGATCAAGCACCACATCATGAACATCAACCTGGGCACTACCACCAAGCTTCACATCCTTTTGTTCTTGCTATAAAATGCGCTTTCGTTTCGGCTTTACCATTTTTTATAGTATCCTACAAAAAGATAACAGCATAAACAAACCCAAATGAACAGAAACGCGGAGTGTCATACTAAGTACTGAGATATACCCGCAAACGTGTACCAAGGGAGAGTGGAGGAGGAGCGCATGACATGTTCGCAGAAGGTGGACTTGCCGGTTCCAGGCGCACCCACCAATATTACTACGACAGGCTTTCCTTGCTTTTCTGACCCTGTCAAAAGCGCATACTGATTTTGTTATCACCGAAGGTGACGACGACCCAGGATGATATCCATGTCCATGTTTTGGAAGACTCTGCGTGGCACGTTTGAATTAGTAGTATAATAAGTTTTATAAACAGTATCCTAAATTTTTATAACTAGTGCAGTAAATTTCATAAACAGTGTGAAAACGTATGCGTCAGCACATCAGATTTTTTTTAATATTAAAATTTTATCTTTTTCATTAAAATTTAAGTTCTTTTGTCATTTTTATTAAAATTTAAGAATTTTTCATTAACATTTAAATATTTTTCATTAAATAAAATTATACCATAATTTTTTATTAAAATAAACTTGATCCAAACCTTTTCCAAGAAGGTTCCAAACAAAAAAAAATACTAATATTAGGTAACATTGAAAGAAGTACAAAACTTAAAATAACTAGTCTAGCATTAGAAAATTCAGACCAGTCATTAGAAAGCGTTTGAACTTATTAAGAAGCTCCGCAAGCTCATGAAGATTCATTTAGCAATTTAAATCTAATTCGGCAAGCCTATCAGCCGTAAAGTTAAGCTTTAATACTGCAAATTACAACTTTAGTTCTCTATGAACAAATTTCTACACTCCGAGAGAAGAACCGTAGAGAAGATGACTGAATCCACAAAATGGGCAAATCAAAGTGACTAATAACCATTTTACCAAATAAATGTAACTAATAACCAAAAGCATAACGAATAAAGATGGAATAGAATTTTCTCCCATTCTAATTTCTATCATTTTTCTTCCCCTTCTATTTGAAGGTTTGAAGGGTTACGTTTAAGTCACGTTAATATTTTATGTTAATTTTTTAATTAGCAGAATAACACAAAAAACAATCTGTGAGAGAAAGGGTAGGAAAATGATGAGAATAAGAGGGAACATAATCCTATCTGCAAAAGACATATATTAACGAAGGAAGACAAACAATAAAAATGAAAATGAGATCACATCAGACAAGTTCAGAGCAGAAGGAGAAGCTGATGGAGGATAAGCAAGGGAAAGAGAAACAGATGCAGAGGGTCATTAGAATAAGCAGTTTTGGGGATAGCTCTTGAAATAATTTCGTGTTCTTCCCAAAATCCCTGTTCTTACAGATTTATGCAACTCATCTCTTTCCCCGTACTTCATAATTTTCTCTTTTCACTCACGCTTCCTCCCTCAACCAAACAAACGATTTGCTGGTATGTGTGTTAAAATCCGCAAGAGGGGAAAGGAAAAGAGAGAAACTTTAGGAAATTGAAGGAATGGGAGGGTTAGGAAAGAAATTCGATCTTTAGGATTTGAGACCAAAAAGAGAAGTTGCTTCTTTCCTACCCTTCCACTCCATAAACCTCCTCATCGCCTTCCTATTCCACCCCTCTTTTTCCATGTCTTTAGGGTTCTCCGATGCTGCACACCCCTCCTTTATATATGGGAATTGGGACGTAGAAGAAGGGCCAAGGCTATTTTTCGTTTCCTTTTTTGCCCTTTCTTCTGTTACTACCCTGCCCTAACCCTACCTACCTCTCGATTTAACCTTTTAAGTTTTTTTATTTTTTATTTTTTTATGTGAATATTAGCTTTTTGAACTTTCTCTTTTCGTTTCCATCTTTCCTTTTTTCCAACTTGACTAATGATGGATGTGTATGGCTCTTTATCTAACGTCAAAAGAGAATCACATCTGTACAGGATAATGCTATATTTATAATTTATTTATTCATCATTTATATTAGGCATCACCTACTAACATATGTAGATTCCATTTTTATCACAGAAGTAAAATAAGTGATGGTATGAATAATATTTTTGATCTATGCATCTTAGTTTGATTAATATCAATTTTTTTCTCTTTTAACAACTGGTAATTTAACTAAAGTTATTTATAATAGAAAATAATACATGATGAGTTTGATGATAGGAATAACATTTTGGATCTATGCATCTTAGTTTGATTCATATCAATTTTTTTTCTCTTAACAACTGATAATTTAACTAAAGTTATTTATAATAAAAAATAATACATGATGAGTTTGATGATAGAACTAAGTGTAACTTGTAGAAGTAGAACTAATGTGGAGACATAAAATAGCTTGCTTTCTCGTTCAATGGAATCATATCTACCGTGACGCAAATTTTGTGTCAAATGCCATTACCTTTTTAGAATATAGTTGCAACAATCTGTATATTTAGGATGGCTGTATTCTCTATCAAGCTAAAAATGCTCTGTTATATTGCTCAAGTCTCGGGAGTGCACCCGAGACTACTCCTTTATTAAATTTCCTTTTATCCTAAAAAAAAAAAAACCAAAATACAGGACACTTTGCAGGTAAGGCGTGAGGTGTCTTTGGTAAATTCGCAATAAGATATAACTGAAAATAAAAAATTTTTTGGGATAAGGGACATTGAACGAAAGGTCATGATTTGGATTGGAATTTGGAATCCGAGGCGGATGCTTTGGTATTATTCTTCCTCCACCAAATTATAATAATAAATGGTCTATAAAAAACCAAGCACATATTAAAAAAATAAAAAGCTCACGAGAAATTGTGAATTTTAATTTACCAGGATGCGTCGAGACTCTGAACAAAGCACATTTCTCGCGTGCAACAAAAACAATTGTTCACTTACGTATTTACCCATAAATATGGGTAGTTTCAGTTTCAACCTGTTCGATTCAAACTTGTTTAATTTTTGTTTGATTCGATTTATTTTCGATTTTATTTTTTCCTGTTCGATTTCAACTTTTTCCTTTCGGTTCAGTTATATACATTTAATTTATCGACCTAAGAATGCAATTATGCTTGCCTTTTCAGGGATTACATGCATGAAAATGTGATAAAATTTCAGTGTGCCCTGTCTAGGTTTTACAGTACATCAAATCTTGAATGCTATCTCTTTTACCTTCAATAATTCTTTGTATAGTCCTTTGATTATGGGTGCAATGATTTTGATGGGTGTCATGGTGTCATCCACCATGTGATGTACCTGGTTATCCAAGAATGGAGAATCCATGATCTATGAGCATGCTGCTCTGGCTACCAAAAATATTTGAAATAGGAAAATTGGCAAAGGTATCCGGAATAGAAAATCTGGTAATTAATTACACACACACACATACATACATACATACATATATCAGTTCGGTTTGATCTAGTTCAATTTCTAAATCACTAAAATCAAAATCAAACCAAGCAATTTTAAAAAAAAAAAAGCGTATGATAAGGTCCCAAGAGACATTCTTTGGAGGATTTTAGAGACAAAATGAGTATGAGTAGCATATATCTAAGCTATAAAGGATATGTATGATGGAGTAAGGATTGCCGTAAAAACTCATGAAGAACAATCAAAAGCTTCTCGATAACTGTAGGGTTACATCAAGGTTCATCTTTAAGTCCTTTCATTTTTGCATTGGTAATGGATGAGTTAACGGGACATATTCGAGATGATATTCCTTGGTGTATGCTTTTCGCAGACGATATAGTGTTGATAGATGAAACTTAGGAATAAGTAAATGCGAAGCTTAACCTTTGGAGAAAAGTGTTGGAATTTAAAGGTCTTTGCTTAAGTCGGTCAAAGACAGAGTATATGGAGTGCAAGTTCAGTGCAAACAGAGGCTCGAATGAGTTAGGGATGAGGATTGGAGATCAGGAAGTACCAAAGAGTGACCGATTTCGCTACCTAGAATCTATCTTGCAAAAGAACGAAGAGTTGGATGGAGACCTCAACTATATAATATAAGCTGGATATATGAAGTGGAAGAGTGCATCCGGCATGTTGTGTGACCGTTGTATGCTACTGAAGCTCAAGGAAATTTTTTATAGGATGACAATAAGGACAACAATGCTACATGGCACATAATGTTGAGTGATGAAACATCAACACGTACATAAATATGGTATATCAGAGATGAGAATGTTTCGTTGGATGTGTGGGCACACAAGAAATGATAAGATTAGAAATGAGAATATTCGAGGTAAAGTAGAAGGAAATTGAAGGAAAGATGAGAGAATATTGGTTATGGTAGTTTGGACATGTAAAACGAAAGCCTACTGACACCTTGGTTAAAAAATGCGATTACGAGACATAAGTTCAGGGGCGAAAGGGTAGAGGAAGACTTAAGAAGATTTTGGAAGGGACTCTAAGAAAATATTTAGAGTATGTGGATTTAACAGAAGATGTGACACAAAATCGAGAGCAATGACGTTTTAGGATTCATACAGTTGACTTCACTTAATAGAAAAATGCTTTGTTGTTGTTGTTTTGGTTTGGGTTTGATATACGGTTCGCTTTTTTGAAACCACTCAAATAAGTATGGAGTTCTACGACAACCATCACACAGTAACAACACAACGGTTTTTTAGCCAAAATGATCCTTGAGGTTTGCATAACACATCACTTTGGTCCATGGGATTGAAAATCAATATAAATGGTCCCTGAGATTGTCCACCATCCATTATTTTGGCCATTCTGTTAAAAACTTTGTTAAGTGTTCTAAAGCTCTTGGCCGGAAGTTTGATCAATTTTCAAAGCTTCATAACTCAATCATTTCTTAACCAAATTCGACTCATAATATATCAAAATGAAGATAGGAAAGTGTAGAACAAGATTATACTTATCTCGAAGCCCAATGGTTTCTGAAGATGACCAGAAAATAGCCTGAAAGGTGACTGGTTTGCGGGAAAACTGGGAAACTCGCGGGAAACTAGGTAAACTTCAAACGTTCATAACTTATTCAATACTCAACGAAATCGAGTGATTTAAAAACGAAAATCACAATTCTCAATAAGAAAAAGATAATGATGCCTTTATCGAAGGCTAATTCACCCTGGTTTGGTCAAAAAAGGGCTCGAAAGTGGCTAACTTGAGACCAAGACATCAACTTTCAAGCTGTTTACCGGCCAAAGCGCGATGATTTGGCCATCAAGAAAGGTACCATTCTTCGCGTCTTGTCGAGAAGTATGATTTTCATTTTTGAATCACTTGATTTCGTTGAGTATTGAAGAAGTTATGAACATTTAAAGTTTACCCAGTTTCAGACGAATTTTCCAATTTTCCCTCGGATCAGTCACATTTCAAACTATTTTCCGGTCATCTCCGGCAACCATTGGGCTTCCAAATAGGTATAATCTTGTTTGACACTTTCCTATCTTCATTTTGATATATTATAGGTCGAATTTGGTTAAGAAACGATTGAGTTACGAAATTTTAAAAATTGTTCAAACTTTCGGCCAAGAACGGAACTTAACAGAGTTTTTAACGGAAGGACAAAACTAATGGATGTTGGACAATCTCAGGGACCATTTCTACTGATTTTCAATCTCAGAGACCAAAGTGATGTGTTATGCAAATCTTATGAACCATTTTGACTAAAAAGCCTAACGTAGCCTAATTAAAAATGTTTTCCAATCACAAACGTTATTTTAGACCAGTTTCTGGAGAAATTTTTAGTTGTGACGGGAACACAAGTGGTACACCATGTGTTTTAATAGGAGTGGTGAGAAATTTTATTTTTTAAGTTATTAACTTTTTAGCATACATATCGCACACTTTGTTACATCCCGGCCCGGGGCGGATCACTTCTCGGCCCCGCTCCACCACCGTAGTATGATATTGTCCGCTTTGGGCTTACCATTCCCTCACGGTTTTGTTTTTGGGAACTCACGAGCAACTTCCTGGTGGGTCACCCATCATGGGATTGCTCTAGCCCCTTCTCGCTTAACTTCGGAGTTTCTACGGAACCCGAAGCTAGTGAGCTCCCAAAAGGCCTCGTGCTAGGTAGAGATGAGAATATACATATAAGGATCACTCCCTTGGGCGATGTGGGATGTCACAATCCACCCCCCTTAGGGGCCCGACGTCCTCGTCCGCACACTCGCGACCAGGGTTAAGTTCTGATACCAAATTTGTCACATCCCCGCCCGGGACGGATCACTTCCCGGGCCTGCTCCACCACCGTAGCACGATATTGTCTGCTTTGGGCTTACCAAAGCCTCACGGTTTTGTTTTTGGGAACTCAATAGCAACTTTCCGGTGGGTCACCCATCATAGGATTGCTCTAGCCCCCTTCTCGCTTAACTTCGGAGTTCCTACGGAACCCGAAGCCAGTGAGCTCCCAAAAGGCCTCGTGCTAGGTAGAGATGAGAATATACATATAATGATCACTCCCCTGGACGATGTGGGATGTCACACACTTTATATAATAACATGTAATGTACCATTCCGTGTACCGATTATATTAAAAAATCTCTTTAGTTTTTTATACATAGAAATATCATTGTTTCTAAATTTCCGATTAGAATCATTTCTTATTTCTGAATAGATATTTTTTGTCCACATAGCACCCATTATCTTGAGATGGTTTTGGGGTGTCCGTCATATTTATTTTACCGTTCCAACCGCTTCAATTCCACAATACTTTAACATCAAACACAGAGCCTGGTCGTGGCTGTAGCCGTAGGTCGGCAAAGGCAATAGAATTTCATGCATTTTCTCGATGGCCTTGGAAATTCCATGTCAAAATATTGCTGGATATACAGTTTGCACCATAAAATAAAATATAACGAGAAACAATTTCAGGGAAGTGAAACGAATATGATGTAAATTTAATCAATTTCATTTATGATTGAATCCAACATATTTATAACTAATTAACAGAAAATAAAGGAAAAACACAGGAAATAGAAAAGGAGAGGGTAAGAGATCTGACGACTTTACCAGCACCCCAAAACGCATAAAATAGTGAGAACTATTTATTTAGAGAAAAGGTGGGAAAAGGAGGAGGCAGAGGAAATCATGGGACTTAGTGGCATCGGTAGGAGGAGATGGAGGACTCCAGATCATCAGGTTTTCTCACCGAGCAACTAAGTCCAATAACTTCCTCAACCTCTTTCTCCTTTTCCCCTTCTCTCATATCGTATTTTTCATTTCTCCCTTTTTTCTTTTCCTTTCTTCACCAGACGACGAAAACAATGCTCGCCTTACTCCCTCCCATTTATATACACACACAGCGTGACGTAGCCCTAGTTTCATATATGGGCCGGGTTTTTTGACCTAATGAATATGATTCATGTTTGGGCTGAGCATGGGCCTTCTTTATTATTTCATGTTTTTATTGTCTAATATGCTCTTAACTTTTTTTGCTCCATATTTTCAATCTACAAGTTTTACGTTTGAGCAAAAATAATATATGGTTTTATCTACACACCGTCTTTTACTTCTCACAAACTTCTCTTATTTTTCGATCGCCAGATTTAACAATTGAAGAATATCAATGGATAAATATTAATTTAACAAAAGTGTGTAAGAGGTAAAACTGAGTGATACCACTACACAAAATAAATTCATCGGGTCTAAAATTCATTTGGTGGGCCTAATGGCCCCATATGAATGGGCTTTTAGTTGCCCCTCGAAAAACACATTTTACAGAATAAATAATAAAAATAAAAATATAAATAAAGAAGTTGTAGTATCATATGCAGGGCAACAAAATAAATTCATTCAAAGAGAATGTGCAATTTAAAAGATACATAAACGTGCAAAATTCATTCCTTATAGTGGAACAATATAACAATATTAAAAAAACAAAAGAGGCTTAAGAGCTCATATCTATGAAGAAACACCAAACACCTCATGCATGAAGAAGTATATACGATGATACTTCCAAATGTTCAAATTTAGTTGAACCCGAATCAACTTGTACAAAAATGAGATAGGAGCTCATATCTCTCTGGGTAGAAACCACGTCTTTTCTTCACCTTCCAGACCATTTTTCTTCGCCTTCCACACCATTGCCATTGAGTCTTTACACATTTTACCTCAACATATTTATTATTTACCGCAGGATATCATATGAGACTAATTAGTTTTTATTTTGTTTAAGTCCGTATTTATACTTACTTCATACCCGATATATACCATTATATACGATATCTGCCGATAGGAGGCATATGTAACGTAAACATTTGGCTCTTCATCATCATACTTATTTACTTTGCCTGTCCAGATTGAACTGCCTTTGACTGGGCTTGTTTGGAACCATCAACTTCTCATTCTCGGTGAGGGCGTGGCGGAAATGGCAGCGGTGACCGTATGGGCAGACAATACCGGAAAGCACCATCCTGCAGACGTTGGTCTTGTAGCGCGGGTGGCGGATCACAGGGCGGAGCTCCTCAATCCCATGTGCAAACTGGCAGTGATCGCCGTAAGGACACTCTCCAACCTCCTGCCACTTGTTGCACAGCTCTGTCTTGAACATGCCTTGGTTGTAAACTTCCAATTCCACCGGTGGCTCCTCCTCTTTCACCCCTATCGGAACGAACACTTTTTGCTGCACCAACCATCGTCATCATCAGTTCCCACCACCATCATTACACAAAATCAAACTGAAAGTTAATACACTGTTTATTCAACAACTGTTTGTCCGCATCGAAATTAGATTAAGAATTAAGCAAATTAAAAAAGCCTAAACTAAAATAAAAACCGCATTAAAATTAGACTGAAAATTATAATTTTATGAATTAAATTAAATAAAATTCAATAGTGAGGATATAGGAAATGGGCTTACCGAAGCATTGAATGTAGTGGCGGTCCCAGTCCGGGTGGCAGTGCTAGCACCGGCTTGAGCGGCCTGAGCAGCCTTCACGTATCCGTTAGACCTCACAGAAATGCTCTTAGGCAGCGAAAACCTCTCCGCATCAATATTCTCGGCGTCGCCGCCTTCGCTCTCAATCACACTCGTAGGGCTCTCGTCGGACACGTCCTGCTCTGCTCGTTTGTCATCAGTTCTCATGTCGCCAAGTCCGCTTACGATCCCAAACGGCGTCGTTGTCCGCATAGAGGAAGGGGAACCGAATTTTTTCTGTACTGAGGCGTGGATGAGTAGACTGAGGTGCTTGTTGAGCTCGAGATTGAGAGAGCGGAGATGAACGTTCTCGCGACGGAGCGCGTCGGCTTCCTCGGAGGTTTCTTGGAGGTGCTTGAGGCAGCGGCTGTGGCGGTTCACCATCTCCTGATGATCTTGAACGAGGATCGAATGGTAGAGTTGGCGGTGGCGGTGAGCTGAAGACGAGTCGTGGTCCGATTCTTCGACGTCGTATCGACTTACCGAAGGCTTGCTATCGAATATAGCGGAGTAGAGGGAAGCGAACACGGCATCGTCTGCGCTAGATTGCGATTTGAGTGGCGATTTCGGCATTGCAGATGTGGCGTGGCCGCCATAGGCGGTGGAGGAAGTGTCGTTTTGCATCTCCACTGTCGTCGTTTTACTGCACCTGAATTACAGAGCCAACGCAAAAAAGCGTTTAGTTCAATTCGCGAAAGAAAAACAAGAAATCTATCGCTTTATAATCAAGAAAAGCACGTAAGCAAACAGGAATTGTACCTTTTCTCGAAATTCCGGTTCAATTTCTTCAATTTTACTCTGAAATTTAACAGAGGAGCAGTGTTCTGAATCTCTGAAGCAATCTAATTAATTATTGGAAACAGATCTAGATTCAATTTCACATATATTGAAAAATAAATAGAATTTTCAAAAAAATTGATGAGAAATCGATCGAACGAGGAATTAAAGCAGAGACTAAAAAGCTGTTTGGATCGAGAGAAAACGAAGAGCAGTTGTTTACCTTCAGAAGCAACAGAAGATCTTCTCCTCTTCCTCCTCCTCCTCCTCCGGTTGGAGTGAGAAGAGTGACGAATGGAGGTGCTCAGGTACGGTGGAGGAGAGATTTGGAGGGAAAGGGGAGGAGCAAAACGGATTTGAAACTGTTTTAGACAAAGCGCTTAGCTGAATGCTTTATCAGCTTCTCAACCGAAGCATCCTAGTGTTTTTTACCTGATCTGTCCTCATTGTTAGACCGGCTTTGTTGTATTATGCAGGGTTTTTTGGTCATTTACTAACATCGGTTGGTTAGGACTGAACTACTGAAGAGCAGGAAGTTATATCTTCAGCTACTTTGAGCCATTGGATTTTGATGGATTTGATCGAACGGTTTTCAAACCTTTCCGGCCCGCCAGATGCGGGGCATGATGAGATTCAACATACACGCGCCCGCAGTAGATAATTTATTCAGTGTGTTCACCCACGAGGTTAGATTGACTGAGTGAGTGCCAACTCGTAACTAGTTCGCAACAAATGTTACAATTATCAAAGGGGTAGAGAAATGCCTAAGGAGACTTGAAAATAGATATGAAATATTTGGAGTTAACGAAAAATTTGATCCAAAACGAGCGTAATAAAGTTTTAAGATTCATACAGTCGATCTATTTAATAGAATAAAACTTTATTATTGCTGTTACTTGTTTTGGGTCAACAAATGGGTTGATCAACCCGCAAATTGTTACCTAAAATAATCCAACACCTCATATTTTTACTTAGAAGATTTAGAAATGTTATTGCGTTCTTAATATAATATCAGCTTTATTTGTCCAATATATATATATATATATATATATCAGCTTTATTTTGTGAACAATGTACATGTTGGATCTTATATTCGTACGAATTTCAAATCAAGCAACATGTTTTTATTCATAATTGGCGTCCTTACACACGTGCACATTGTACTTTATTTTGCCTTTTGGGTAAACCGGTTTTCAATTAACTTTTAATTAAGGTGGTTAATTATTTAAAAAACCGATTAGGACGTGAGTAGCATTCAAATGAAAGACGGAATCCAATCATCGCTTTCTATCGGTTATGGTTATGGGGAGGAGGTTGCTTGTTTAACACATCCACTGGCATAACAACCTGCCATCAAAATCTACTATCCAATGTTTGGTAAGATCGATCCCGAATGCCTCCCTCCCAATAGCATGTTTTCTCAGCATAATTAAGCTTCTTCTTTATTCAAACAAACTGCTAAATGGTTTTACTGTCATTTTCTTTACAGTTTGGCTGTGTTTTCCACGTAGCTTCTTATGATTCAAACATTATCTATGAAATCAAATTGGAAATCATTAGTCTTCCATATGTAACAAATCAATGGTAACAATTAAGATTATTCTCATGATACTGATGATTAAAATATCATCAACTTGATTGTTTTTTACAAAGGTGATCTTTAAACGTGAATTAAGAACTCGATTATGACATGTGTACGGTGAAATTCGTTATCACAATTGGGTGGACAATGAGGCACACTCTCAGAGTGGACGTAAGTAATTCCTTAATTAAGGCAGTGAATTTTGTACAACCAATATGTCACGTACCCTTTCATACGTTGTGTACATTATACTAGTACATAAATGAAACACAAACACTATCTCCTATTTTTTATTCATGGAATACTCATTACTAAGATAGATAACGAGAAATGTGTTGGATCTTATAGCTTCTATGAATGGTAAGAGCAAATACTTAACTTCCGCCCAAGAGAATAATGGATTATCTTCCCTTTGAATTTGCAGCATAACTTTCATGAATTGCGGCTCTGCATTTGTAATCGTACTTCTGCTAAAAGGAAAAAAAAAAACAAAAACACCACACAACATATACGTTATATTTATTTAAGAAAGAAATAAAAGAAATGAATTTGATTGATGTTCAGAGACCTCCTTTGCTCTAGCATGGCCCTCATATGGTACATATTGATCAGCTCCAAATGACTCCTCGAAGTTTCGGAAAATCGAATCAACGTCAGGAGTATTGAGATCAGCATGATCGTAAGTTTGTTCTTCACAAACGCCGAGATCTTGCATATTCTGAGACCACAGCTGCAAAATCAATCAATTGAAAATTCTTCAGTGCACATTCAGCCGAATAATTCATAGATGTATGTTATGGATTGATTTACTACCCGCAATTTCAATTATTTACCTGACTATTTTGCACTGGACTTCTGCAATGCCAAAATGATTCTGTATAAAATGGAAGTTCTTCATTAGATTCGAATTTCCGGCTTGAAGTAGTACCGTTGTGATGATGCACTAAAGAACGTTTATCATGACTTTGTTGATCATGAGCAGATACCAGAAGCGAATTAGGGTTATTCTCCTCACACAGCTGAAGCCTTTTCAAATCAAGAATCTGATCCAGAATAAAACTGTTACTAGAGCTTTTCTGATATTTACCTCCATCTCCATGGGAAGATATCTGCAAAAGATATTAATACCAAAAAAAAAAAAAAAAAAAAAACCCTAACTTTTAGGAACCGAAAAGTAAAGTTTGGCTCGTCATAGAAATTCCAAGTTTACCGCATTTCTGCCAGTACTGGTGGACAGATTCTCATTCAGTTTGAACCCCCAAAATGCTGCAAATTCCTTGGCGGACGGGCAACCGGTATAACTGCTGATCATGGTCCGTTTCTGATGCGGCCTTGAAGAGTGCCGGTGCAGGCTCTGGTCGCATACACGGCACATAAACATCCGGTGATCCAAACACTGATCGTCGGCTGAACGGTATTTGCACGAATCGCATAAGAGGGTTCGCTGATGGGAGTCGACAATTGGGTTAGCAGAATGGACTTTTGCATCGCAGGAGAGGCAAAGACGTGCAGCGTCGGCTTCACAGTACACAACTGGCCTCAAATCCAAGCACAAATCACAACTTTTCTTCATTGGGTTTGACCTCTGTATATACTTCACCAAATTCCTCCAAAGATTCAAATTGCTGCAGCAGATATTCATCACATCAGTGGTCACTGGACTTGAACTGACCTGTTTTGACTTAATTAAACAAAGTATAAACTTGCCTTTCTTTTTAATTAACTAGCAATTGTGCACATACTATGCATGTGCTTATCAATTCAACATTTATAAACCTCAACATACAGCTTTGTTTTTATTAATTCATCGTTACTAAATTAAACACTTTACTAATGATTATACGTAATTTATGCAGCAACGAAATGCTCTTGCAAACAAATAGAGCGTCGTTAGTTCATAAAAATAACGTCAGCATTTTATTAAAGTTAAGCCTTTGAAACGAACAAAGACAACTCTCCCTACGCAGCGTTTTATTAAACTCAAGCCTTCAAAATGTCAGTGTGTTGAGTTTTAAAAGAGAAAGCAAAACAACTCCTCTTCTTCGCGAGTTGTAGCGACCCCCGCATGCATTGCATCTAAATTCAGCTAGCACAACCTGCACAGATAATTGAGGAGTGCTCGGAGGTCCTCTCAAGCCTTTCTCCATGACTCCCGTTGCTCCCGGGACCACCGAGTCCCTCTCTAGATCCGGCCCTAACCCAATCGATGGATAAGCTAAATGTGTAAATGTCAAAAAAAAAAAAAGCCTAACTTCAAAACAAATTGAAGGAAAAAAAGGGATAAACAGCAACCTCAATTCGTCTTAGGCGATCCAAAGATTCCAAACTGAAAGAAAACACTAAAAAAATCCCCTGCATGCGTATAAATTAATCCCAAAAATAATTGTAGTTTAAAATTCAGAAACTTAATTAAAAACCCTAATAAGTAAAGATAAACTAAAACCTATCATTTTATTTCCTGAGAAAAAAAAAAAAAAAAAAGCAGTCTCAGAACGTCTACTGCGTAGAATTTTGCACTAAGAAATACAATTTTTCCCCGGAAAAAAATCAAGGCTCATGAGGCTGACCTTCTTCTCTTGTGAAGGAGCTGCCGCTCAAATGTTCATGGCCTCTTCGAAATTATCTTTGGCTATATGGGGGGACGTATAAAAGTGAACCTTTTTTATAAGCGTAATATTCCGACATGGGTAATGGACAGCGGGTCCCACCGGCGGTCTGAAGGGATGTTCTTATTGGTGGATGAAGAGACGGACCTGCTTCCACCAATGGGGATTTGACAGCACTTGAGCTCTGTTAGGTATTTCGGCGCGGGAGTTAGGACTGAGTTGTGGGCTCCATATACCCAACCACACGAATAGCCAGCTGCCAAGTACGGATTTCCGTACCTCCTTTATCCATACTCCTCTTTTGTTGATCTTTTAATTTTTTTAAATACAAATAGTTGATGTCATATTTACTTTTCGACGTTACATCCATTGTAATTTTTTTTCAATTTTTTCAGTCAAAATCTTTTCTATGATTCTATACTTCAATTTGTGAGATTTAAAATTATTGAAAGTGGTCTATGAAAAATTAGGGGTGTGCTATTATACATCATACTTTACTTCTCACATACCTTTTAATAATTTATGTCTGTTAATCTTTTTCAATTCATCCGATTCAATGGTTGAAAATTAAAAACGTGTGTGAGAAATAAATAGTGTGTGTATATCACACCCCGACAAATTATCCTATTCAAAGTGCTATAAAAATCTGTTAAATAAAACAAAAATAATCTTAATTTTATCAAATCATAATGTGCTACAAAATTATCTTATTCAATTAATAAATTTAGTGTTTTTTTTTAAATAATACATTCAGTAATGTGCGACCAACCTACTCTACAATTTTTTTTTATCAAATCCAATTTTATCACATGGTAACGCCCAACTCTGTGTAAATATACCAAAATGCCCCTTATCGCTTGCACATTTGAATACATAGTGATAAATTTTATTTAAAAAATAGTATAAATGTAGTAAGAAAAAAAATATATTAAACATAGCAGTTTTGAACACATTTATTCACCACCCTCTTCCAAATTATATTTGCACAGATCCGAAAATAAAGGAAAAGAAGCGAAAAGATGAATTTGACATTCCCATTAAAGTCTAAAGCTAGCATAAGGAGTCAAGCATGACTAATCACACAACCAGCTGGGAGTGGGAACTCTTGTGCGGAAGCACACCAACAGGCTTCATACATCCAAATCGGTATTGCCAATATTCTTCCATTTTAACCACAAAAAATAAACGATATAGAATTTTACCAAAAGATATCGACAATATATGTGTTACTATTCCTTATAAACCATAGATGGCTCACCTCACCCACCGATTTGGGACTCAGTTGTGGCTCTAATCTCAGCCACCAAACCCAACAGGAGCTATGATTAATTAGGCAAAACCTAGTACTTGATACGATATTAGAGGAGACAAATTAAAAAAATATCCTACCTAAATTCTATAAAGTGACGTTTGACATGACATAAGCTTGTTCATGCTTTCATTTGAATCAAAACATTAACTTTACCAACAAGGAAATCATATTGCATTAACTCAAGTAATTTTTTTTTTTTATGAATGCGTGCAAGAAATGAATGTAGCAAAGATGAAAATACTTCGTAGACTTTTGGATAGATGAGAAATGACATGATTAAGAATGAGGTTATCCGCAATTAAAGATAAGATAAGAGAAAATCAGTTAAGGTGATTTGAACATGTGAAACGAAGACCTACATATATTCTGGTTAAAAAATGTGATATGAGATTAAGGCTCAAGGCAAAAAGTGTACAGAAAAACTTAGGAAGACTTGGACAAAGACTTTAAGAAAAAACATGGAATATTTGGAGATAACAGAAGACTTGCCGCAAAACTAAGTGGAATGACATTCTAAAATTTATATGGCTAGTGAGATAAGACTTTGTTGTTGTTGATTACTGTAATGTGAGACGATATCAAGATTTTCAAACGAAGCATGAATTGTGATGTATTTTCCAACCAGAAAATCAAACTGTACAGTTATATGCAGAAGACCAAGATGCATCCAATGCAAAAGTTTAATCAACTTCTTCTTGTGATCAGAAGTCACAGAGAATCCATGTTCTGCTGATGGTTTTGAGGTTCGTTACAAGCCTTATCGTTGTCAAAGTCAGGTGACCGATTAATGAAAACAGACGAAACCTCAGATGCATCATGTTCCTGCCAAATGATCATATAGGAACAGCAACGAGAAGAGAGTATAAGCCACAAACCAGAAGAGAAGGTAAATCAAAATTCACACCACGACTGCACTTGCATTGCCATTATCTGATTTGTCAACGGATATGCCCTTCTCCACCAACGAGTATGACACATCTTTATCATGAAGCACTGCAGCTCTGATAGGATCTTGATCACCTCCGAATAATTCTTCGAAGTTTTGAAATGTCATATCAACATCAGGTATATTGAAATCATCAGGACAAACAAGTTCTTTACAAACCCCTATGTCATGCATATTTTGAGGCCACAACTGCAAAACCAATACATGACCATATGGTAAAACAAAATGAAATGTGTTCTTATTTCTAACTAACAAGGCCTAAAGTTTTCAGTTGTTGTTGAACATAATTAAACCTTATTGTTTCTATCGCGGCACTTCTAAACGGTATCAGATCAGTGTTTAAACGAATAACAAGGGATAAATAGCTACATATCATTCCAAGAATCCAAATAAATCAATTTCACTGGCATTAATCGAACCTGATTACTTTGAACCATACTTCTGCATTGCCAAAAGGATTCTGTATGCAATAGAAGTCCAGTAGTTGAAGATGGTTGCATATGCTCGATTTGAGAAAATGGAAATGATAAATGATCAACTTTCAGCTCCTGAACTAGACTGTCCCTTTGCCTAAATTTAGTGCCGGAATTCTGGGAATGTTGTAAACGCTGATCAAGATGAACATTGAGCCTCTTTGATGTCTGAAGTACTGAGGAAGATAGGTCAATTTGTTCTGTACCGCGTATCAGCAGCGAAGGTGTATTCCCCTGGGCAAGCTGAAGCCTTTTCAAGTCAAGAATCTGATTGCATAAATCAAAGCATACTAGGAACACTCAACTGACCTGTGTAACTGCTGATTGCCTTTTTCTGATGTTGGGAAGCGATCATGTGCAAAGCACTCTCGCAGGCACAGCACATAAACATCTTGTGATCCAAACACTGAATATAAGCCGGGTCTCTGCACGAATCACACAAGATACTGCGCATATGCCGGTTAAAGAGTGTGTTTGCCGAATGGACCTTCGCATCGCAGGAAAGGCAAAGATGTGCTGCATCGGCTTTACAGTACACAACTGGCCTCAATGCCAAGCAGAACTCACAAAATCTCTCCATTTTTCTGTCCTTCAAAACTTTGAAACCCCAATTCTGCCGAGCCCTATTGCTGTCACAGATAACCAACATTAAATATACAATCTTTCTTGCACGTATATATATACAAACATACTATTTATGATTTTCCATTTAGATCTTAATAAGATCAGGGCTTCATGTTTCTCAGCTTTTACTTTTTAGATCAGATACGGATGGTTGAGACACAAGTCACCAAATCTTTATGCATTAACCGAATGATTAAATGATTTCTGATTTTCGGTGAATTTTTATAATGATGATCTTTGAATGAGAATCTAGAAGATGAATCGATTGTATTGTATCGTGTAATTAAACTGTGATGCGTTCTTACGTTCTGCATTAACTAATTAGCAAAGTTTGAAATTTTATCATCATATAGAAATTCAATTATAATTTAAAAAAAAGTAGACAAAATTCGGAGAAAAAGTACCTCTTTACGTAGAGAGGGTGAATGAGAGCACTGAGCTCTTTGTTTTGGTTATCTGGTACTTCTTCCTCCTCCTTCTGATCACTTTTGAAACTTTATGGGTCCGACGTGGACATCTAAGAGCGGAAACTTTTCCAGCGTGGATTCGGATACGTGGTTCGTGCCGAATCTGGATTCTAGCCGAATCCTCTTTGTGAGGATTCTAAAAATCCTTGAATCGTATCTGTTAATGTATATCGTGTAGTTAGAAATCATTTTAAATATTTTTAATTTAAATTAAACACGAACAATATCTGATAAAAACTGATTGCATGATGTATAATAAACTGGTACAATTCACAAATCTCCAAAATCTTTACAAAGAATCTGAAGAGGATCCTGTTGGGCTCGTGGCAGTGGGATCATCATCCACGTCATCCAATTCCCATTGACTGAGAGACAAGTGTGAGTGCTTACGCGATCCATGCGATCCGAACTCTCACCTGTTGCCGTCGATGGCTGTTTCATTTTCTCTACTTTTTTCTTGCGGTTTTTATTCCCCCCACCAATTTTAGGGAAATACCTTATTTAAAACAACTATTTTTTTTGTTAAAAAAAAAACAATTATTTTTCCTTATAGATAAATGAGAATTTGAAACGTGTTTAGAAACGTTTTATTTCCATGTATTTAAACATGTAATTTGTTTACAGGTTAAACAATCATTTGCAGGTTACTAACCTGAGGTTAGTATAAATAACTTGCATGTACAGAATCAAGCAGTGTTTGAAAATGTAATTGTAAATATACTTTGACTTTGCACCGAGAAGAACTCCCTTGCTTGCATTTTATCAAGCTAGTCTCATACTATCAAGTAAAAAAATTAAAAAAGTGTGATATTGTATTATTAGTTTGAAACACTATGACAATCGCGTTGAAATCGTAGGTAGGTTTTTCTTAAGTAGAGACACTACGACAGTCGCGTTGCTATCGTAGGTTGGCTTTTCTTAAGTCGTTCTCGACTTGCATTTGGGATTTTGGTTTCTGATTGCGAATGGCAAAGGAGATGGAAATAGCATCTCAAAAATTGACATAACTAAATAATGGTCCGGTCTTGGCAGCTAACAAATAATGCAGAACAAAGTTAGGGAATACTCTCAATCGGGTCCTCTGTCAACGTTCACATAAGATTCGTGAAGAGTTAAAACATAATTTCAAAATATAATGACACACTATACAGTTAAAGAGCAGGTACTGCACAACAAACTACGAACGTACACCAAAAGACGGCCGCCAAAGGCCCTTCTAGTCCCCATCAAAGATCCACCAAGATGACGGTTTTCGTGCTTTTGTCGAAGAAAAACCTGAATTCAAAGAAGCAATATTCATAACACTGCAATTTAACAAATAAACATCTAAAACAAAGGTATATTGAGAGCAGCAGTAACAAAGAAAGTGAAAAGAGCGTGAATCTAGATTAAGGTTTTCTTTCCCCAAAACAACACGCATTCAGTTTCTACTTTCTATACATCCCGGGTACTCCCCCTTCTGAATGAATTCGTCAGGGACTACAACAGCCTTTAGCAGACCCACCTTGCTGCTCAAATGTTGTCATTTTTACAACTAAAAACAGGTCTAAAACTAACGGAAATCAAAGCTTCGTATTTCCATTCTACACGGTGAAAAACTTCAAACTAGTATAGTAGCTGCTTAAATTGGCACATCAAATGATTTTAGTGTGGCAACATGTTTATAACATTCCCCCAGTCCTGAAGTCAGTAAAACAGGTTCTTGCTCTTAACCACTCCAAACCATGTCCACCCTTTCAAATTTAAGCATAGCCAAGTAAGGCTTATGCACCTAATTTCTTTTTGTCCGGTAAATTTGATGTATCTATACTTTTATTCCTAAAACGCTAGGATCATGAGTGTAAGGATATACGCTAAAGCCAGAATGTAAAAAGGGATACAAGTGGAAAGATTGATTGCGAAATCATCATGATTGATGCATTACCATGTCACCTCGAGGTAACATGCACTTCAATAATGTCATTTTCCTCCATCCCAAGGGCATCAGGCGTAGCAGCTGGACCTATTTTGTCGCCATCAAAACAAAACACCAGACTCTGAAGGTCAAGCTTAACATTATCTGCATACATTTTGAAGAGCCGCTCAAACTTGTCGTCCTGTTGAAGTAGAAGTAGAAGGAAACATAATTAAAAATATTACAATGTTTAATATCACATAGCCTGTATATACATCAGAGATTAGGCCAAAGAGTACTAGACAAACATTGAAGGTTAATACTTCTGGCACAACATACCGCATAAATACGAAACTGCTTAACTCCATCTTTGTCTTGAATAGATACAACTATTTTGTTTCTTTCAGGGCGGGGCTTTGGAGGTTGTTCTTCAACTGCCTCAGATGAGATACTAAGTTCTTTTATCACAGACTCCTCTACCGATCTCAGCACATTTTCAGCTGATTGTGCATACGATGCCAGCTCTTTCTTCTTTTTCCTACATACATAGACCACATTTAATTGGAAAATTTGAATTGCAACAGAAAAACCAAAACGATAAAGGGTAAACCAATATCAACAAGCATAACTAGCCATCACTATTTACGAGACCCAAATAAAGCCTTAATGTTCTAAGATAACTGGCCGCATTAAAGTATACTTCCTTCAATACAAGATAAAAGCGTAAATTTCCAGTTACCAACTGGAATCTAATGAACGGGAAAGCGCACGCACTAGCCACTAATTTGTCAAATTTCTTCTCGAGGCAAAGAAATATGTTTGAGAGATAAAATAATTACAATAAAAACCCAAAATTCAAATACCTCAGTTCCTTTATGGTAGAATCCTCACCCTTCCGCTTAGCCCCGGCAGAAACCTTGGGTGGAGGAGGTAACCAGTCCTCCTCCTCCTTATCTTCACAACTAATAACATTTACTAACTTCACAGGTTCATCAACCTTCTCAATCTAACCACAATATTATCCAAAATATCAATGTCAATAGAGTGCAATTTACAACAATTCCTCTTACCAAATGGAATTTAACACACACACACATAGCACATATGAACGTCAATAACAAATTCGGTACCGCGGAATCCGAAATTTCCCTCATTTTCGGAGGAGAAGCTGACGGAGCATCTAATTCATCGTCTATACAAACATATAAACAAAAACAAAAATCAAATCAAGTTTTTTTTTTTTTATGAAAAAAGTTGAGTAATTTATGTTTCCTATCAACTGAATCGACCGAAATTAGCAGGAAAGAGCTCACCGTCGAGGCAAATTAGACTGACGGGCTGAACGCGTCTGTAATCGAATAAGGGCTCGAGCTCTTCGGAAAAATCCTCCTGGAAAATCAGAAATTGCAGTCAGATATGCTTCCGCTGCTGAATATAATTATAGAATAACCAGTGAAAATTGAAAAAATTAAAACCCCATGGAGTGAGCCTCTCACCATTGTCGACCCGAAATCAGACTCTGCGAATTTTCGATTCAATTTAATTCGAGAGAATCTTAAGCGTCCCGCCGAAAGAAGAAGCCTAAAAATCAAACACAGATTGCAACAACAAAAAGGGAAAGAACAAAAAAAAATATCAAAGAGAGATCGGGTTAGTAATTTGTTGTTGGGTTTGGTCCTAGCCTAATTCCTAACATGGGCTTCATTTGGGCTGGGCTTTATCTATCAATTGAATTACCCAACACATCTTAACATCACATGGTCAATGGTCAGAAATACCTTCAAAATATATACACGAAATAGAAGAAAATAAATTTGTATCAAATCTTCTGTTCACGATATTCAAGCCAAGAATCTCTTACTTACAAGTGAAGAGAAATGTCACTAAATCGTAATACTAAGTAGTGAAAACTTTAGGATTATAGAGTAATGACATCTCCCTTCAACCTTTCTTTAATGTGACATTTAAAATTGTTGTATGCATTGAAGTGACATATAAAAAATTTCTTAAAAAGATAATCATAAATTTTTATTTTGGTAAACTACTTAAGACTAACCAAATTGTAAGGTTGATTTCAAACAAGTCCAAGAAATTTGATGACTCGTTGATTAATGTACCTAAATATCGAGTTTTCGCGTGTTGCATATGAATTTGTTGAGATCAAAGTTCAAGGAACAGTGTGAAATTAATCCTAAAGTTTGAATAATTTTAGTTCATTCACCCTTTGCCTTTTTAATATGGCATATAATGAGAAGTTTCTTTTGTAAAAGAGGAGGTTGTGTTGAATTAGTAATATTTGAAAGTTTTACATTCTTTTCCCTGACGGACGGGTAGCAAATCACCTTGTGTAATCAAAATATATGAACGTTTAGCAAATTTGAAAAACTGTTGGAGTGCGGGAGCACCTACCAAGAGGCTCGAGGCTAGTCCCGTCGGCGCCAATGGGCGCAAGCTTAGTTCTTAAATTTTAATGAAACGAGTTATTCACACTAGTCATGGCTAAACTAATTGCTCAGAGGTTTTTTTTTTTTTTTTTTTTTTGTTTTTGTTTTTAAGTGTTGAGTAAGCTGACTCTAATTGATGTTTAATTTCCAGATTTAGTAACATTATTTGGCACTCATGAGTAATCAGCCTCAGTCGCAGCATGATTTTTAATTTTTTTCCCGCAACATAGGAATGGTAAAAACATGGTATGTAAAGAGATATAATTATTTCTCGTTTTTTTTAAATAAAACTAGTCAATTCTAAATATTGCAAGAAATTAAGTTCAAAAAACCTCATTAAACCCCAAATAACTAACTCATGGACTCACCATTAGAGCAACTTTATCTTTTTAAGAAAAGTCGGGATTGAGTTTGACCAATACGACACTATGAAGTTAGTCGGTGCTGTGATATGACTCTCTCTATCTTCTTATTATTTTAATTTCAAGTTTTAACCACGTCACATTGGTCAACACTCCGTTGACCAGAGCGTAATCCCTCACAATTTCACAATTTCACTTCTTCAGTTTTATAGATAAATGTGAGCTCCCCCAACAAAATATTTCAATTTTGCTTAAGCACCTGAGTTCATGCTTCTGGTAACTCTCATCTTCTCTCTCTATATCTTTCTCTCTCTAAATCTCTCTCTAGGTTAAAGGCTTAAAGCTTCTTAATCTATATCTAATCTTTTTCTAAGATATCAATCTCCTCATCTAATTTCTAAATCATTTTTATCTTTAGATTCAAACTTCTATCTCTCATGCTTTCTCTGTTGCACTCAATCTTGTTCTAATTGTTTTGGTATCCATGGAACACATGAGCCCTAAAGAGACTAATGGTCTCCCTAGCTTTGCACGTGACCTCCGAATCTTAGTGGTAGATCATCATACATTGCCCCTCATGTCCACAGCGTCGAGGTTAAAAAAATACTCATTCAAAGGCAAATCATTCCAGAAATTTCACACACTAATATATGGTGTCATGTTGATCTATGAGATAAGACTGACATGGATACAAAATTCCATCTATATTTTATGTATACACATGCCTATAACGAATTAACTGATTTTAGATGGAAAATTTGAACTTGTTTGTGTGGATCTAAAGGTTGAGGCAATCCATGAAAACAAAACCAAGAATGACAAGGTTATATGATGAACAAGGAGTCATTAAATGATTAAAAGTAGTTATCGCATACAAAACGATATAAGATTTATCCTGATTTATCTGTTATGTTTGTGTAATTTTTTGTCTTTATATTGAGCTAAATCTTTCTTAACATAAGATATATATTAAGATAAATTTTTTATTATATTCTTTGTTTGTTTGTCTCTGTAATTTTTGTTGATAATCATCACTTGAACGTTTTTTGTGTCTATGCATTTGTATATAATTTTCTTTGATATACATGATTTGTTTGTACATAAAAGGGCGATCCCAAGCCAACAAGGTCTTAGGCCTTGCAAAGTTAGGGGGAATGTCTATCGTACACATCCTTACTTGACTTTGCAAAGAGACTATTTCCATGATTCTAACTTGTGACATTTGGGTCACAAATGAGCAACATTTCGGTTTCAAAAAGAATTATCTTTATTTTTCACAACTTGGTTAATAACTCTCTCTCTCTCTCTCTCTCTCTCTCGTTTCTCCTCTAGTTACCACAACCGCGCTGGCTTCTGTTGCATTGTCGATGATTCGAGAACAAAAGGATCACTATGATCTAGTAATGGCTAACATCAGTATGCCAGATAAACACAGATTTTCGTTTCTACGGGTGCTGCATAAGAACAAAATTCCTGTCATATGTAAGCTTCAATGGATCTAAAATTTTTCCTATTTGGATCGATTGGCTTATAGAAATTCCTTCTGGTTGTGTACTAATTGTTGCATAACTTATATTTCAACGCAGTCATGTCCTCGGAAGTGAATATTAATGTAGCCAAGAAGGCCCTAGCTGAAGGAGCATGCTTTTTTCTTCAGAAACCAATCTCCTTAGAGGATCTGAAAAACGTGTGGCAACACGTTTATCGGAAGGTAAGAAACCCAAGGAAGGACACACATAAACCAAATTGTGCAAAGAAGATTGATAAGGCTGGTAATGTTCTTAGACTTCCCACTGGAGGTATTAGAATCCATGAGGTTGGAGGTGTGTGTAGGCCTACCGCTGTACACGATTTGTGCCTTGACGCGCAAGACACTTGCTCATTGAGATGCAAATCGGAAAAAGTTAGGAGAGGTGAGGGAAATCGTCAGAGAGAACTACAGTGCTCTCACGCTGAACAGCAGATAGCCACAGAGAACCATACAAAAGGAGCATTTGGGATAAAGAGACCGGTCGATGATAAAGAAGAGCAAGAAAAAGCGAAGAAAGTTAAACTAAACATAGAGCAAACTGTTTCTGGAAGTACAAATAAGGACGAGGAAGGAAAGGAAAATAAGGATTGCAATGGCAGCTCCGAAGATAGAAGGTGCCGCACCATTTGGACTCCGGAACTTCATCTCAAGTTTACAGCAGCCCTAAGTGCATTAGGAGATCAAAGTAATTCTTCCCTTCTCATAAAACAATCTAGTTTTCCTTTTTTTTATCTTCACCTTTAAGAAGTGCTAAATTATTTTCGTTTCTTGTTTTCTTTTGGACACAGATGCTCGTCCTAAATCGATTCTGAAATGGATGAACGTGCCTAATATAACGCTGCGCCAGGTTGCAAGCCATCTACAGGTTTCTCTTCAACTTATATCTTAAGAACTTCTTTTCACATTGTAATTGTTTTCAGAAGGATTTATGTTAGGTTCTTTATCCTTCTAGAAATACAGGAAACAAGTACAAGAAATTCAGGAGGCTGGCACAACGAGCTTACCTTCATTAAGCAGACCATACAGTTGGAATAGCAGAAATGAATTTCCACCAGCAAGGAAAACTTATCTAATATGCCGCCCATATGAACAAGGGACTTCAACTTTTGGAGTTCAAGGCAATCCAGCGCAATTAATGACTCCGAATTCTTTCACCAGATTCAGTGACTACAGAAGGCAGAATCCGTATTCAGAACCCACAGTCATGTCTCACAACACAAATCATCAAAGCGAAAGCCTCTATGACTTTTATTTGAGAACTCATGGAAAGTTTCAGAATTTGGACCAGATAATAGAAACAAACGGCTTCACATTAGGTGCAGGCATGAATGAAATCGAGAAGAGAAACCACCCACTTGGATTAGAAGAGAGCAGGTTTCAAGTACGCGAAACAACCTTACCGATTACGAACTACATGACTCCAGGGTTTACTTCTCCCTACATATCAGCAAATACTTTTCAGCTCCCAAATGCGTCTACCAGCATGAATCAAGCGCAGTTTTATACTCCAGCGCCGACCACTTACATCAATTCCCATAATCGAAACCACTTTTTCGCAGAAATCACGGGAACAACTGAAGTTGGCATGAATCAAGCACATTATTACACTCCAACCCCGACTACCCCTATCAATTTCCAAAATCAGAACCACTTTTCAGCGGAAGTCACCGGAACAACTGAGGTACCTGAGGTTGGGCCGGAACATATAGCTTCAGGCAATGCAGCCAATGCAGAAACATTTCCAGCAGACTTCAATGGTGGAAGCCAGCAGCTGGATGCTGCAGCAAGAGAGGCTTCTCCAGCTAGTTCAAACAATAACCAACCCATGTTGGAGTATGATGATCTGTTGAAGCTGCTTGAAGAAGATCCAGAGGAGTTCAACTGGTTTGACAGTGCACCAAATGCAGGTGATGCCAATGGTTACTGTGAATTGCTAACGGAAACTTCAAAATAGCCCGAATTCACCGTAGTTTATCAGTTCCAAATACAGGGTTTCATTCAAGCATGCATTATATTTCCCTTCAAGATGGTAATATTAGTTTCCTTATAAACAAGACTTCCTGTTTGTCTTCCATCTTTTATGTTGGTAAAGTTAGTTTGTATCAAATCGAATATTTGTAGCCAAATGAGACTTCATTTCTATAATCTCGAATATTACCATACAATGAGTAATTTGTACAAATTAAACCAATCAGTTTTTGTAAAAAAATAAAAAAAAATGTAAATTGCATGAGCATATTTTCTTAAAGAATAATCATAGTCTATAGATGATTGCAAGAAATGAAAATCACTGAATA